ACTCACTGGCTCCCTAACAAGCATGTCATTCAAGCCCCCATGTGGGTTCCAGGACCCCATTGTGGGGAAAACAAGAATAGACCCACTGCCCCCCCAAAAGCATGTCGTAAGAGTCGACTAATTGGGGAGCTTCCTTTGAAGTCGGAGTGCATCTGCCGGAGAGGCAAGGAACCAACAGTCTGTATTCAAGAGATTGTGATCTGTTAAACTGATGCACACGCAACACTCAGGTTCTGGAGCAGGACTGCAGTTCAGTAGTGGACGAGCAAGCAGAACTTTCCGCCAGAGTGTACAGCTGGTGAACGCGATGAAGAAGAAGATGTCATACAAGGTGACTAATTATGGATTTACTTTAAAGTCAGAGTGCATCTGCCTGAGAGTCGAGTAACCAGCAGTCTGCACACAAATAAGCCAGCTCAGATCTGTAAAATAGATTCATGCAAATCTCAAATTCTAGAACGAAAGTAAAGTTCAGAGGTGGAAGAGTGACCAGAAATTTCCCCCGGAATTTACAGCTGGGGAACACGAAGAAGTTTATTTTCCCCCAAGATCTCACATTAATTATTTTATGTGACTTCTCTCCCATGTTTCACGCTTTTGTGCATTCTGTTTTTGTTTTCTGACACTATTTTTGGGGTAAATCTTACTCATTTCTTATTGTATCTTCTTCTTATCAAAGTTCATGCCGTGTAGCATTGGTAGTTATGTCTAATCTACAACCTTCTGTCTTATGTACTTTCAGTCATCTCTGTCACAGATGATCCTCCATGCCATGATTTCCAACTGTCCAGGGATCTTCCCTCTCGGTCTCCCTCTGCCTCTCTTCCCCTCCAACTTTCCTTCTGTCACAAAGTACTCTAGTTTCCTCATTCTGATGACATGACTGAATAAGGTCGATTGTCTCTTTCTGATGTGGGCAGTCAGTTCTCTTCATGAGTGAGTTTCTTCCAAGACGTCCTAATTACTCTTTTTATCTGTCCAGGGTATTCTCATCATTAGTCTATATAAACACATCTCAGCAGCTTCCAAATAATTTGTTATATCTATAACATTTATAATCCTATCTATCTATGCCTTATTACTGTGTAAATCTGTTGTGAAGTGGTAAATCTGTTGTGAAGTGGTTAAGCTGTCTACCTTGTGATCTAAAAGTTTTGAGTTTATTTTTGGCTACCGGTGCAGGTATTTCAAGGATCTCAGACTCACTGTTTGCCTTCATCTCAGACAGTACTTACGTATGGCTCCAGCACCTGGATATAGGTCGCATTGTGTAGCCTGGTTCTATGTTCATGGCGTCCAGAATCCAGTTCAATGCACAAAGTTGTCGAAACAAAGCTGACCTAAATGATGAAGAAAAAGAGGGAAAAAAAACCCAGAAAATTAACAAATTTTAAACTGCGCCCACAGAAGTTATAACTGACCCAAGCTAATATACCAGTAACATTTTTAGTACAACAGACATGGTGGTATAGTTAGTTAGTTAGTTGCGTATCCTTTACAGGACATTGCAGAACCAGCCCTAGCATTTTTTGGCTGTTATGGTTTTTCTAGGCAAAATTACGTCCAGTAGTTTACCACTGTCGGCTCTGTGGCTAAGTCAATGCGAAGGCTTCGTAATGCCGGTATGCCGGGGTTCGATCCCAGCTGCGGGCTTTGTGTTGGTTTCGACAGTGGTATCAAGAAAGTCGACCGTTCAGAAAGCTATGGCAAACTACTGGATGTAAATTTGCCTAGAAAAACCACATAACAGCCAGGAGCTGTTAGGGTTGGTTCTGCAACGCCCTGTAAAGGATACGCAACTAACCTTATAGTTTACCACTGCTTTCTGGATGGTCGGCTTCTCGATACCACTGTTGAAACCAACGCAAGACCTGCAGCTGGGATCCAACCAGGCACCCTGGCATTACAAATTACGTTCGCAACACCTAAGCCACAGACGGCGACGTGGTATAGTACTCTGTGCATTTGCTAAGTGGTTTTGGGTTTGGCCCCTAATATTGACCAGGACCGAAAGCGAGGGTATTTTGGTGGCCTGGTGACCTAAAAGAGAAGGGTGATGAAGGGTAAAGTTTCCGGAGAACAAGATGGTGGCAGATCTCTCTGTGAAGGTGGATATAAGATATTGAAGCTGCACTGGCTATGGTTATGAAAGCACATAGGGCTGGAGAACTGGCTAAAGAAAGAAAGACTTTCAGGCATGCCATGATGAAAACAACAGTCTGTAAAGGACTTGTAGATTGATGATGATGATGAGTGATTTTCTGACCAATACAGGTGAGGTTTCAGCAGCTGGTGCTGCAGAGTTAGAAGTTCAACAAATGATTCATGTCAATACCCCCCCCAAGTAATGTGATTATCTATACAGATGGCTCTGTACTGAGAGGCAGTTAAAGTGAAATGGGGTTCACAGCAAGAGCGAATGGACGTTGCTTAGTGCAACAAAGCCTTGCATATGATATCTAGTTTGAGAATGGAGGTGGAGGCAGTCACTGCTGCCCTGTGCTGCCTTGAGAATCAGCTGGAGACACATGTTGTAATTGTCACTGACATGTTAAGAAAGTAAGAGTGAGGCATGCTCTGTGCACACAGTGGCAAGCATCACTTCAGAAGTCCGGGATAGTTAGCGTCCTTTGGATATTTTCTCCAAGTTATGCCAGGAAACAAGCAGGCAGATAGACTGGCTGGTTCTGCACTTCTCTAGGGTGAACTGATGTATGACAAGCTAGATATTGTAAGGGCCCTTTGGGAAAGAGTAAACAGTGAGAAGGCACAGACAGATCACTAACAGCAAGTTACCCAGGGATCTGGCCGATGCTCAACATTCAAGGGAAAGGGGAGACAGATGTGCAATCTGACAGTTACTGGTGCCATCGGAATTAGAACTTTGCTTGCTGTTGAAGAAGGGGATGGAGCGCTTGTGGGAGTATCCCGAGTGCTGTGATGTATATTGTTAATTTGATATTCAACATTCAAGGGAAACAATTTGAGATACTGGACATATTCATCTTCTTCTTCTTCTTCTTCTTCTTCTTCTTTTTCTTCTTCTTCTTCTTTTTCTTCTTTTTCTTCTTCTTCTTTTTCTTCTTCTTCTTCTTCTTCTCCTTCTTCTTCTTCTTCTTCTTCTTCTTCTTCTTCTTCTTCTTCTTCTTCTTCTTCTTCTTCTTCTTCTTCTCTTCTTCTTCTTCTCTTCTTCTTTTCTTCTTCTTCTTCTTCTTCTTCTTCTTCTTCTTCTTCTTCTTCTTAGTGTTCACCGGCTGAAAACTCTTGACAGGAAATTTTTGGTTGCCATCCACTTCAGGACATTGATCTTGTTATAAAACTTCAATTTTGCATGCACCTTCATTTTACAGATCTGGCTTATTTGTGTGCAGACCGTTCATTCTTTGCCTTTTAGGCAGATAAACTACTTCTTCAAAGGAGACAAGTTGCATTAGACACCTTCATCCCCTTGTGGGATGCAATTTTTAGCTATTTTGAAGCCCCACCATGGCTTTTGCCATGGTCACTAAATATAGCCGGGCCTGAAATATGGCCAAACGGCTGAACAGGGTTTCTGGGAGCTCTCAATGGTTGATCCTCATCTGCATGGTGGCACTTTGTGTCACTGGGTGTTTATAGCTTGTGTGATGTCCTGGTGAGGTACAACTTACCTACATACCTACATAGGAGACAAGTATAACTATTCATCTCTTATGTCATGCTGATTAAAGGAGAAGTGGGTCTTTTCTTTTTCTCCTCACAATGGGATCTCAGAATCCATATGCAGAGGACATATTCAAAAGGGTGTTTAAAGGCAAGAAGACTGACTTCACTGCACCAGGTTGTAACCCATATGGCTCAGTCTCACTCTGTAGAGTGCCTAGTCACCTGCAACAGCATTGCACAAAGCAGAAACTGTAGCTCCCCCATACACCTTGGGATCTCTGAAACACTTACAATATTAACCACCTTGAGTCAAAATTGAACTGACATCTATTTGAGCATAATGCAAATGGCTCAAGTCTTTCATTTCTTCTTCTTTGTCTCTAGTTCTGTTCTGCTTTCAGTGTCAGGTTTTAAAGAGGCGCTGGATGCAAGTCTTGGTATGTGATATGTAGATGCTCTTATTTTGGCTCTGATATTCCATCTATTCATCACTCTGCTTTGATTATGTTTAAGTTATACACTACACAGCCCCAAAAAAATCCTCACCTGCACAGTCATGGTGACAGAACTACCATTCGGCCGTGAATACTCAGGCTCAAACCCCCTCCCTCCCGCCCCTGCCTACATCCCCCCCCCCCGCCCTCACCGCAAAAGTTGTATAATAGAGGCAGTAATTGGCAGGTTTTTTTTTCCACTGCATCTTACTAAAGAAGATCTGTGCAGCTATTAACCACCCAAATGATTAGTGAAACTCTCACCCTAGTACTCTAACATCTCCACGAGATTCTCTAATATCCTCCTCAGTAACTTACTTACTTACTTAGTCGCTCCTCTTCTACCTTGGGGTGTAGAGGTTTGCCATAGAGATCGCCAGACGTCTCTATCAGCAGTTTTCTTTCTGGCTTTGTTCCATTCCAGTCCTCTGTCAGTTAGGGACTGTCGGATGTTGTCTTCCCAGCGCACCCTGGGTCGTCCTGGAGGTCTGGTTCCCTGGTTCTTAGCCTCCCATGCCTGCCATGGTGGCCGATTTTCTCCCATTCTGCATACATGTCCAAACCATCGTAACTGTGACTGATCCACTCGGCTCCTCAGTAACTACATACATTTAAAGCTACTGAACAGACCCATTCTGTATTGATTAATAAAACATCTTGTGCCTTAAGTGAAATCTTCATGTTTTACAGCTCCAGGTTGTACTCCCGTATTCATCAACCTTGGGGGCTGCGTGGTCTTGAGGCATGGTGTCTGCCTCTAATGCTAGAGGTTCCGGGTTCAATCCCTGGTAAGGCCTGCGATTTTTTTCATGTGGACTTGGACTTCTAGTATTTCCCCTGGTCTCTGGGTATTGAGATCGGACGCCCATATGCATTGTTATACACGTAAAAAAATCCCTTGGCGGTTAGAAAAAGGAAAAGAGTAGCCTAACGGCGCTGCCCAGGCAAAATCTGGAGTTAAAAATCTACACAAAGTATCTCAGGATCCTCGCTGGTGCTACAAATTCTGTGCACTGTACTGAGCTTCTTCAGACTCCACCTTATGGGTTACACCCGTGTGCCATGATGTTGATCTGTTGTTCAAAACCTCAATCCATCAACCTGGACAGGGGAAACAGTAATGTATAGCCATCTTTGTGATATGCATCTATGATACAAATCTATGATATTACCTGGATATATCTTCCCTTTGGTCTATCTCCAAGAGGCTGTTGTACCGCGGTGTAAACGGGCGTGGAGTAACTTGCTTTCTTCCCTTTCCTGCAGAAGTTGTCCTGGTGCTTGATGTTTTTGGCCTGAAGTAAATTGATGTAAATTAAAATGCTGTCTGTGGGAATGCAAATATATAAAACATCTAAAAATACCTGACCTTTGACAGAAATAATTCTGGGAAGGCTAACCTAGACAGTAAATATCTGCAGAAATTGGATGTGTCGGCAAAAAATGGGCAAATATCGCAAAAATGTTCTCAACGGATATCTTTGGATGAATGTAGCTGACAAAAATGAAGAAAGGATTGATTTATTGATTGACTGACTGATTTCAATAATCAAAGCAGGGTCTTTATAATGCAAAATTTTAATAATGGACACAACCAAGAGGCTAGATATTTAATTATGTTTAAGTGTATAGTAATCTAGAGTGGTGGCTCGTTGATCTAGGGGTATGATTCTCACTTAGGGTGGGGAGTTCCCGTGGCAGAGCAGGAGCCAGACTTTTTTCAAAAATGACCTTGGCTCTCAGGTCGACCCAGCCTTGAGTGGGTACCGGGTGCAGTCCCGGGAAGTAAAGGTGGCTGGCGTGATGTTGACGACATCACCCATCATTTTAGAGTACAAGGAAAAGACCAACTGTTCCTCCACCCCCAACAGGCATATCAAAGAAGTTGACTAATTAGGGGTGTTTCTTTCAAAGTTGAACTGCATCTGCCTGAGAGGCAAGGAACCAACAGTCTGCACACAAATATGTCAGATCTGCAAAACTGATGTGCATTAAAAAAAAGTTCCAGATTAAGACCAGAGACCAGGAGAGGAGGAATAACCAGAATTCACCACCAGAGTTTACAGCCTGTGAATGCTAAGAACAAGAAGAATAAGTGTTCAACAGTACATGCAGGACAGCAGTCATGCAAGAAGTGCTAAATTGTTTAAATTCTATGTATTTTTTTTTAAATTATTTTTCTAATTTGTTTATTTATCTCCCACTTTTTTCTCATGCCTTCTTACTTATTTCTTGTAATAATATAACCTTTTATATCTACATCCCCCCTCCGCAATTTATGTATTTCTTGGTTTCATGTTGAATTTGATTGTTTAGAAGCTCTGTTGTCTTGTTCATTAGGTTTTTCTGTCACGGTTTGTGTTGTATTCAATTCTCCGTTGATAAAGAGATGACCTAAATAGGAGGTTACTGCAGCCGAGATAATGACAAGTAGAACTAAATACAACACAAAGTGTGACTTGAAAGCTCGACGGAGGGAAGGGAAAAGATGCGCACAAACACAACCAAATATTTCGACCAAAGTCTTTATTAACAGAGTTCTAAATACAACACAAACTGTGACTGAAAAACTCAATGTTGATAAAGACTTTGGTTAAAACATTCAATTGTATTTTTACAGTCCCTCCACTTATCTTTTTAGTCAAATATGATGTAGTATTTAACGTAAAAATGGTTGCATCAATCAGAGGTTGAATAATATTTTTGAACAGATGGAGTATAGTAACAATCAGGATTGAGTGGGTGAATGTAACAACTGGACTGGGCATAAAATGTAATGAAAACTGAATCATGCAAGGAGTTACTAATCAACACGTGGTGAACTGCTGGGTAAAACAAGAAATAAATTACTATAATAAGTTTGAAAACCACAGGTGGTTAAATTTTAAATACTTTGCCATTTTTTTTGTATATTTACAAACAAGTTAGTTGTCTATTCTTTACAGGATCTTTCAGAACCAACCTCATTTTTTGTGGGTGGGATCATTTTTGGCTGTTTGTGATTATGAGGCAATTTTACGTTTGGTAGTTTGCTACTGTTTTCTGATTGGTTGCGACTTCATACCACTGTTCAAATCCAAATCCAAAATGGTCTGCTGCCAAATCATCCACAGCTGGAATCAAAACAGGGAACTGGGAATTATGAAGCTTATTCACAACGCCAAAGCCAGAGAGGTATATTTACCCATTGCAATATTATTAAAACAAAGATACATACATCAAGAGTGACCAGAAAGCAATGTGTCAGAAACTTGTAATCTAAACACCTCTGTAAACATTTATCTCAACAGCAAAAAAAGCAATTTTAATATCTCAAGTACAAGGAGAACAAAACAAATATGTTAAAAATAAAGGAAGTGCTGGACTAAACATAAATAAAATGTTTATACATTATAATGGAAACTTTCTTTGCCTTATCCGTTACCTCCAGAGGACAGCTGATTATTTCTCGTTAGCACTTGGTGTAGCTGTTATGTGTGGCCTAGTTTTTACTATTTAGGAAACTGAATAAGAAGACATCTATGTTTTGACATGTTGGACTGTCATCCAGGATGTGACACTTTGAGCCAACAGAGTTTCAAACCTTCAGGCTGTTGTGGTTTGTCCTCTCCAGGATTGCAGTCCACAGGATTAGCACCTCAAAGATGAGAATCCTACATGTGCAAATCCGGTAAACCTTGTTCAACTGTAAGGTTATAATTGGGCCCCTGACGTTAACCCTGAAGACCTGACCGGGTTGGGATTAATGCTTAAAAACACACACACAAACACACACACAAACACACACAAATATTGAAACCCCCACAGGGGGGAAAACAGCCAGTTTTCTGCCTCTTAGCTCCAAATGGAGCATAGGCCATAACCAGCTGATGTTAAACTTTTTGCAATTTTATTTTTTAAAGGTTGGATTTTACAGTTAAAGTTGCAAACAGGATAAGCTAACCCGTCTCACACCAGCCTTTCTTAGTCTTCTCATAGGACAAGCAGAGTTACAGTTCAAATAGTAACAGTAACAGTCTCGTTGATATACAGGATAAGCTAGCCTATCTCAGACAAGCCTTTCTTAGTATTCTCATAAGACAAGCAGAGCTATAATTCCACTGGTAACAGTAACCATCTACCATCTCGCCTTTCGTTTGAGGGTTAACAGTTGGCCAGATCCCCTGGTAACTCCTCTCAGCACCGTTCTCCATTGGTGCCTCCACACCTTCCTCCATCAATTACTCTGCACTGTTCACTAACTCCCAGAGCATCTTTACAACATCTAGCTCCTCATGCTTCAGCTCACCACCAAGTGGTGCAGAACCAGTCAGTTCACCACCAAGTGGTGCAGAACCAGTCAGTTCACCACCGAGTGGTGCAGAACCAGTCAGTTCACCACCAAGTGGTGCACAACCAGTCAGTTCACCACCAAGTGGTGCACAACCAGTCAGTTCACCACCGAGTGGTGCAGAACCAGTCAGTTCACCACCAAGTGGTGCAGAACCAGTCAGTTCACCACCAAGTGGTGCAGAACCAGTCAGTTCACCACCAAGTGGTGCAGAACCAGTCAGTTCACCACCGAGTGGTGCAGAACCAGTCAGTTCACCACCGAGTGGTGCAGAACCAGTCAGTTCACCACCAAGTGGTGCACAACCAGTCAGTTCACCACCGAGTGGTGCAGAACCAGTCAGTTCACCACCGAGTGGTGCACAACCAGTCAGTTCACCACCGAGTGGTGCAGAACCAGTCAGTCAATTGGCCAGTTTTTTTTTTCAACATACCGGCATAAATAACATGGAGGCAAATATTAAAAGGACGCTGACTACCCAGGACCATACCTGCCTCCAACTTTTTTCAACATACTCTGTGAGTCAATTACAGTCACCACATGTGTGTGTACAGCTTGTTCTCAAGCCAGCAGAAGGCTGCAGTAACTGCCTCCACCTCCATTCTCAAACTAGATAAACTATATGGTTTAGATATTCAAACAGGCATATTCAATGATTGGTCCTATTGGAACTGGAACTCTATGCTTGCTGCTGAAAGTGGGGACAGAGCGCTTATAGGAATGTCCTGAAGCCTGTGGTTCTTAGTTGAACATTTAATGATTAGGATATGCACGGTAGAATACAATAAGCTATCTTAAGTGCCCTGGCAACACAGGGAAAACTGAAAATGTGCAAGACAGACAAAACAGGATATTAAGAAAAAAAAAACTTATATGATTTAACAAACAATAAAAAAGAATGATTTTAATAAAAGAATGATTTAACATATAACAACAACAACAACATGTAATATATGAAACAATGTGATTTTAAAAAAAAAAAAACTATCTGATTCAACAATGAAAGACAACATTTAACATACAAGAACATGATTTTACAAACAGGAACATAATTTAACAAAAATAACTGTGATTTAACAAAAACTAATATGATTTAACAAAAAAGAATTACATTTAACAAACAAGAACATGATTTTACGAACAAGAATTTCATTTAACATACAAGAACATGATTTAACAAACAAGAATTACATTTAAACTACAAGAACATGATTTAACAAGCAAGAATTACATTTAACATACAAGAACATGATGTAACAAGCAAGAATTTTCTAAGAAGACTATGATTTATCAGACAAGACTCTGATATCACAAAAATGAATATGAAACATTACATCTCACCACATATGTTTAAAAAAAATATATAAAATCACTAAAATTCCCACCTGGAAACTGTTCTGTATTATTAACTCTTGTTCAACTGGCAATTTTATCACACAAAGAGATGTTAACAAAAGTCATCACTAGGTTATCACTTCTACTTCTTTGTTCACCACCTGTAAGCTCCAGTGGAAAGCCCTGGTTGTTTGTCTATTTGGACTTTGGCTTTGCGCCAGGGTCTGATTTTTGTATGTACATCCCTTTTACTGACCTATTTCTGTGCAGTTGGTTGTTCCTTGCCGCTTGGGCAGATGGACTCTGACTTTGAAGGAAGCTCTCAATTAGCCGACTCCTATGACATGCTTATTGGAGTGCCAGTGTGTCTAGTCTTGTTTTCCCCATGATGGGACCCTGAAACCCACATGGGGAAAGTAAGAGAACAACAGTGATGCTCAAATGCTACAGGAGTAATTTTCTTCTTCTCCTCCTCCTCCTTCATTTCTTCTTTTGATTTATATCCTCCCATCCACCCTCTCCTAAGAGCGCACACCGTTAACCAGCTGGCACCGATTCAACCTGTCCATTGCCAACATCTGCAGCTAACTTTACATCTTCCCCACCATGTTCTATAATTCTCTTCTGTATGTGTTTTTTTCCCCCTGGGGTGGGGGAGGGGGGGGAGGGGTTGTCTTTAATCCTTTGACCCTGTTAGTTCTATTGCAAGGTCATTTTATTTGTATTATGACTATGATGAAAATTATTATGAATATAATGGAAAATATTATGCTTATAATGGAAATTATTATGAATATAATGGAAATTATTATGATTACATTGGGAATTATTATGAATATAATGGAAATTTTTACGATAAAAATGGAAATTATTATGATTATAATTTCTATTACTAATCTGTGAAATATCACCCAGGCAAAGTTAGTTTCTAACATTCATACCTGTAGTTTGAGGTGCCTGTGGCTGAACTGAATGTCATATCAAATTCATCACTAAGATTATCAAGAAAGCTGGTTTCAAAGTGGCTAAACACCAGAAATCACAAAGGAAGCAAAAGGTGTGAGCAAAAATAATACAGGATTTGTAACAATAACAAAAATATGGTGGAACCTCAAGATACGACGTTAGGCTCCCCCATTTCTTCCCCCCCCCCCCCTCCCAGAATACGATGCAAAATCTGGGATGTGAGCTGGAGAGATGATAACTTTTGGCCCTACCCGAAAGAATCTTGATAATGCTTTAATGAATTAGGTCATGTTAACATTGCCGAAGGATGACTTAAGCCAGTCGACATGCACATAATAATGATGGACTGTTGCATCATGGTCGGAAGCAACCCTATTTTAGGCTGCCAGCAACAACAACAAAAATAAATAAAGCGATGCCAAATATTTCCCAAGTAAACGAAATGAAAACTTCATTTTAAAATTAGCAGAGTGATTTTAGGAGGTCCGGAACGAATTAAGGTTATTTACATTAATTTTAATGGGAAAAATTAATTTCACGATACAAGCTATTCGCCATTTGAGCTCAGTCATAGAACAAATTAAATTAGTATCCTGAGGCTCCACTGAAAATCTGCAGTGCATTTAACTTGACAGTTGTGAAAAAATATCTAAAAAGAAATGCTTATTAAAAAACTAAATAGTATGCAAAAAAAGAAAAACTATACAAAACTGAAAATAACATATGTTAATTCTTTTCCTTTGTTTATAAACTATCTAAACTATATAAACTAGAGTGTTTATAAACTATCTAAACTATATAAACTAGACTGTTTATAAACTATCTAAACTATATAAACTAGATTGTTTATAAACTATATAAACTAGATTGTAATATTGCTTTAACATTCTGGGGAGACCACCATGGTGGGTGGCTAGATGCTCTTCTTTTCTTCTTCACTTCCTCTTTTACCGCTGTGGGTGTCGAGGGAGATATAAGGTTCTGTTTCTAGCTTTTCTGGCCGCCTCGACCATAGGCACATCGTGCTGTTGTAGAGTTTCTCTGATGTTATCCTTCCATATTGTTCTTGGTCTACCTCGTGTTCTATGTCCTTCTTCTCTTTCCATGTATGCTTTGTATGGTATGCTGTCACAAGGCATTCTCTCTAAGTGGGTAAACCATTTCACTTGCTGTCTTCGTATGTAATTTAGAATTGGTTCTGTGCTGACTTTTTCTCTTATGATATCATTCCTGATCTTATCTCTTATGGTCACTCCTGCAGCCCTTCTCAGACATCTCATTTCCATGGTTACTAATTTTCTTTTATGGTTTGTTGTGAGTGACCATGTCTGGCACTGGTAGCACAGAGTTGGAATAAATATGCTTTGAATAAGACGTCTCTTTGTGCTGATTGGGATTGTCTTATGCTGTAAGAGGGGAGCTAGCTGTCCCAATACTTGGTTTGCTTTATTGCATCTAATGTCAATTTCTTTATCCAATTTCCCATCTTCGGTAAATGTAGTTCCCAGATGCTAGATGCTCACCTGTGGATATGACCTAACAGCTGAAGGGTGTTTCTAGGACCTCTCCATGGCTGAGACTCATCAGAATGGTGACACTTTGTGTCACTGGATGTTTATCACTTAGTGTGATGTCCTAGTGCGGTAGAAAGCCAGCCAGCCAACCTTGTTATGATAACTTGTCTGCGTTCCAATGCTGGACTTAATTTTTGTTCTTGTTTTAAAGCCCCACCCTGATTATTGCCCAGATCCCTAATATAACCCAACCTATGGGCTGAACAGGGTTTCTAGGACACGTCCCCAGGTGACCCTCATCCGAATGGTGGCACTTTGTGTCACTGGGTGTTTATAGCTCAGTGTGATGTCCTGATGGGGTTAAACATCAGTCAGCCTCATAATCTTCTACTCAACGACAATTTCTGCAATCTGCAGCTTCTACATAATTTGCCATTAACTGTCTGATTGTCCATGATTATACAGCATCATCATCATCACTGTCCTGTTGTGCCATTATGTGTCTCATAGGGCTCTCAGTCTATTTTTCCATTCCATTATATTCTGTGCAGTCCCTTGGATACCATGGATGATATCCAGTTCAGCACCTTTGGCTTTTCTCATCAACTTTCACTTTAAGGTTTCTCTTAGACATCAATGTTTCCTCAATTTCTATATTTCCTATTTCAGTGACTGTTTAGCAAGAGCGGTGCTTCAGGCACTCCAATCTGGAAAAACTACCTGGAATACAAACACTACTCTCCAAACTAGGCAACCAGTGTAAGGTAACTATGCAATGGATACTATCCCATTGAGGAGTTTCCAGAAACAAAAGAGCTGATAAATTAGCTAAGGAAGCTGCAATTGAAGAACTAAGGAAGCATAATCAATCAATCAGAAGAACAGCCTGACGTGTACACTCTGGTGGAAAGTCTCTTGCTCGTCCATACAGCAAAACCTGAGTGTTGCGTGTGCATCAGACAGATAATCAAATCCTTGCCTCTCCGGCAGATGCATCAGAAAGGAAGCTTTCCCAATTAGCCACCAAAACAATGGGGCCCCGGAACAAGGCACAAGATGATTACCATATTACGGACAGACCAGAGCAAGTTATTATTCTACGCTGGAACAGGACACAATCGACTTCGCAGCCACATGTACACACAATTTAAAATGGCGAATCAGCCATGTGCGCATGTGGACTGGCACCTGAGACAACAGATCATGTCCTCCAAGACTGTCCCAAACACAACATATCAAGGCAAAACTTTTGGCCAAGAGAAACACCGGTGCAAGTCAAACTTTACGACTTGCTGAGTGAATTACAAAAAACAGTGAAGTTTATACTAAAGACAACATTGCAGACATAGATAATTATTTCAAGCGAACGAAAGAAGAAGAAGTGCCTGTTTAATGATTATTTTCTTGTTTCTTAACAGGATGTGTCCATTATAGTACCGTCTTCTATGACTTTTTTTCTATACAGTATCCATGTTAGTAAACATGAATTAATTAGTGTAATAAAGTTAAAAAAAAAAAAAAAAAAAAAAAAAAAAAAAAAAAAAAAAATTAGTAGAGTATTAAAGACATTTATGAACAAAAAAGTGCACTTTGCAATTACATGACTTGTGATAACTACCATACATGAAATAAAATACTAAAAAATTAGCAAAAAGTGTTATTTGAATTTTAAAATGAAATGAAAAACTACAGATAAACACAAATATTTAAGAATCCTTGAATTTTGATTTTTCTGTGCTTCCCCATGAAGTGCCTAGAATTAAGCAAGCTGATCAACTTGCTAAGAAAGGTCTAACAGATGAGCAACAAAATGCACCAGTCACATAGCCACCAAAAGGAAATATCTGTAAACGGATGTGCATATAAAACTCCCGTTCTGGATTAAAACTGAAGTCCAGAAGTGGATGAGCAGCCAGGACTTTTTACTGGAGTGAGGGTGAATGCAAAGAAGAAGAAGAAGAGAAAGAAGAAGTAATCAAATCAATTTAAAAAATACCAGCCCAAGACGACTGTATTAGAGGCAAAGATTTAACTATGCTCTCTCTCTCTCTCCCTCTTGTGTTGTACCCCACCAGGACATCACACAAGCGTAAACACTCAGAGACACAAAGGGCCACCATGTAGATGAGGAACACCCATGGAGAGGTCCCAGAAACCCCTTTCAGCGGTTAGGCCATATTTATGGCCCCGGCTATATTCAGGGCCCCAGGGAAAAGCCAGGGTGGGGCTTCAAAAACGAAAAATTGCATCCCACATGGGGACGACTGGTATGACCTGTGGCAGGTAAGTATTATATTCAAGTATTCAAAACTTCAGAATTGACTTCACAGAAACTTCTTTCACAGTTTATGGTTGGCAAACCAGCTATGCCTACATAAGGATTGATGCCACTGACAACTAATTTCACTTCAAGGCTGACCTGAAAAGGACATATGTCAAAACTTCTGGCCTAAAGAAACAACCATGGAAGCCTAAATTTATGGATAACAGAATTAACTTAACTCTTTGAGTCCCAGGGGGTTTAGCATCACAAGCCCAGAGGGTAGTAAAGAGAGTAATAAAATCGGCCCATCATGCGTTCATTGGGCTTCTAGGTAGGAACCTATGAACATATAATGCGTTCCCTGGGTCTCAAAGAGTTAAAAAAAAAAAAAGAGTACTAAAAAAGTAAAGTTTTTATAAAAGACAACATTGCAGATATAGACAATTTATTTCAGGGGAACAAAGAGAAATAAGTCAACAATTACAGAAGTAACATCTCTTGAATTTGTTTGGCATGTTCAGTAGGAGATGAATGGTCGCAGACCACGAGGCAGACCATGAAGATGACAGAAAGATAATGTCCAGAGAGACCTGCAAACACTTGGTGTTACCAACTGGAAAGAGAAGGTCAACCAGAGAGATGAGTGGAGGTGGGTGATATCTGCAGCAATGAACCTCAAGGGCTCAGAATGCTGAAGATGAAGAAGAAAAATAATTATGGAAATGTTATTTACTATTTATTTGTTCAAATTAAAGAAAATAAGGATTACACAGAAGAAGTATCTCACCTTTCTAGGTCATCACCTGACTCTTCTTCATCTGAACTCAATTTTGGAGGTTGCCACTGGTTCCTGGCTTCTTCCAGACTTTTTTGCTTTTCAGCAAACAATGCAGCTCTCTGAAAATTTAGGGGAAATTAAAAAGCTGACACTGTTGGAGGCAAATGCTTCATTTTTATAATCTTACTAATGCACATTAAAAATACAAAGCAAGACATATGGATCTGACATATAATAAGATAACCAACAAGACAGGAAAGTCAGAGGGAAAGAAAGGTAAGGTGAGAACAAAAGAGATGATACTGGATAGTTTGTCATCATGATATTGAAGGACAATGTATCTGCATTAATCAGTAGTTCCACACACACACAAAAAGTGCATATCCTATACAGGTCTTTGTCAAATCAACACCACCAATTGTATGCACTTTTACATTGAGTCGTTTGACAGCATTACATGTGATAAAACACACAACAACTGACAAATTAAAAAAATCACAGCTGCTGCTTCTTCTGGTAATCTGGTAATCTGGTAATTTTAATTTCAGCTTCATAGCAAATGGGTCACCCTATCTTAGCTCCACTCCTATGCCAACGTAAAACACACAGAATGTTTATCACAGTCCCTTGTGGAAAGACTGACAAACGGCTGTCTCAGCAAATCTAACATAGACTCGCATTAAAAGCATATGGTAGCCATCCGAAGTGCTAACACAAACAGTCCGGCATTAGAAATGCAGTTCATTATTGATGGTAGCAGAAGTCATTAAAAGATCAGCAGTTGCACACGCGATCGATTTTAATCAAATAAATGGCTGCACCAATATTGCGACATCGCGCCATTTTCTGAATCTACAAATCACACCACCACATTGGTCAGTCAAAAAACATTCCAAATGAAATCCACAGCTCACAGTGTCACGCCATGCACTCAACTCAGAAGCTGGGCAACGAAACCTGCTTCTTCTTCTTTACAAATCAATGTTTGGTATGTGTCAATTCCAATATGTGTCACAATCAGGATGGTGTGCTTAAAGTCGTCACCAGTGTTCTACAGTTGTGTGTGAAAGTCACTTCGGTGTGTAAAGAGTTAATGAAGCCAGGGCTTTTTGAAGCATGGGTAAACACTGGCATTCATGTTGGGTTAATTGGTTGTGAATGTAAATATCTGAGCCACTTAAAGTTGTGAAACAAAGGTTGCTTGATATTCATGGGTAACTGCAAACACCCAGAGTTGTGTAAGGGAATGTGAAATCAACGTGTAGATGACAGCTGTTAGCCTGAGTGAATAGTAGTTTGAGTCAGTCGTTTTCAGTCTAAGTGCTGCGACTTGTGCACAAATTATTCAGGTCCAATGGATGCATGGATTTGTGTGACAGTTTTAACAATATGTTTTACTGTTTATGTTCTGGAGAGTGCCGATGTGAGTGTGCTTGGCAATAAGTAGTGAACTGACAGTGAGTCACTGATCACCAATCCATCGTTGTTGCAATGTGTGGTCCATAATAAAGAGATTGATTGCACTATAAAATCACATTTGGTGTGGTGTTTTCTTTTCAGTACTCGCAGACAGCGTTGGCGGTTATGATAGGACACGTAACCTCTGCCAGATATATTGTGGTTGCTAACTTTTTATGTGCGCCTGGCTTATTTTGATGCTCTTGTTTGGGCTGGCCATTCTAAAGTTTAAAGTTTAAAGTTTGAACAATGGATCAACATCATAGCACACGTGTGGTAACCCCTAAGTGCTCCATTCTTCTTTTAACTCAAGTCTGAGTCTGAAGAAGCTCAGCACAGATCACAGGCTCTGTAGCACTGATGAGGATCCTGAAATATTTTGGGTAGATTTTCAACTCAAAATTTTGCCCGGACAGTGCTGTTAGGTTACTCTTTTCGATTTCCAACTGCCAAGGGATTTTTTATTGCACAACTATGCACACGGGCGTCCGATCTCACTACCCAGAGACCAGAGGGAATTACTAGAAGTCCAAGTCCACGTGAAAAAATCCCAGCCCTTACCGGGGATTGAACCCTCACAACATCAAGCTTGTCATACATCAGTTCACCACCAAGTGGTGCAGAACTGGCCAGTCTATCTGCCTGCTCATTTCCCAACACACCGGCAAAGTCAGGGCAGTCCTGTCAGATATGTTCTGGACTTCGTTTTGGTGAGCCGCAACCTCATGTAGCATAGTTAGCAAGACCCATTCGATGTAGGCGTGCTTGGAGTATAGGGCTAATACCATATACCCACACTGCCTTGTGTCATGAAAAAGGGTATTTGACTTTTACCTTTTACTGTACCTTAGATGCTCCTTACTGTTTGGGTACTTCTTCTTTCTCTTCTTCTTCTTTACATTCACCGGCTGTAAACTCCAGTAGAAAGTTCTGGTCGCTCATCCACTCATCCACTTCTGGACTTTAGTTTTCATCCAGGAACTTGAGTTTTATGTACATATCAATTAAGAGATCTGCCTTTTTTTATATACAGCCTGTTGGTTCATCATCTTTCAGGCAGATGCACTCTGACTTCAAAGAAAGAAATCCTAATTAGTTGCTTATTATGACATGCTTGTTAGGGGTCAGTGGGTCTATTCCCTTTTCTCATCCAAAGGGGGTCTCCGGACTCATATGGGGGTGTTTCGGTACAAATATAGCTCATAAACACACAGTCACACACACAGACAGATACACACTCTCACAAACACACACACTCAAAGACACACACCCAGACACATACAGACACACACACACACACACAGATGAACACACACATACACACATGCAGCAGCACAGACACCTACAAACACACACACAGATGCACGCAGTATAAATACTGTCCATTACAATTACTAAGGAATAAATCAGGCTTTTGTGTTGACATACTGCAGAAAGTTTCTTAGAATACAACTGAAAAACACTTAATTAGTGCCCTTTAATTACATGCTTGGGTCTATTCTCTCCTCCCTCTCCCCCAAGAGCCCCTGGAACCCACATGGGCAGAAAGAGAAGAGGTGGTGTTTTAGCTTTTGTACTGTCCATCACAATCAATAAGGAAGAAGATCAAGGCTTATGTGTTGAAACACATTTAAAAAAAAGGATTCTTAGAAAACAACTGACCATTACGACAACAAAAATACTGAGATTCTAAAACATCTTAATATTGAGGACAACTGAAACTGAGTTACTCTGACCAGTCTCTTCTTCTTCATTCTTCACGTTCACCGGCTGTAAACTCTGGCGGAAAGTTCTGGTTGTTCATCCACTTTTGGACTGCAGTCCTGTTCCAGAACCTGAGTGTTGCGTGTGCATCCATTTTACAGATCTGACTCATTTGTATGCAGACTACTGGTTCCTTGCCTCTCATGCAGATGCACTTCCAATTAGTCGACTCTTACGACATGCTTTTGGGTAGGCAGTGGGTCTATTCTCCCCCCACCCCCCATAATAGGGCCCCGGAACCCACACGGGGAACCAGTATCAAATATCATAGCCAGCACGCAGGTAAGCACAGAAAATAACAGACACTTTGGGTAGAGAAGTGTGCTGGGTGGACAAGCTGGTGATGGGCCGTTTCTTTCTGGCGAGCTGTGATGGAAGCTCCCGGGAAACCAAAGTATTTGGGTTCCGGGGGAAGTATGGTTGCAAAGCTGAAACTTAAAGGAACTGGCACAAGGGCACCACCAGGAGTGGAGCCTACAGCTTAATTTGCCTGTAAAGGACTTGTTTCATGATGATGATAAAGACAAATGCACACACTATATATTGTTTGTTTGTTTGTTTTAGTATCCAGAAGCCATGAGTTGTTAACCCTTAGGCTCGGTATTATGGATATCGCAACCTTTCAGCCTTGATTCCATTGTAAATACCGTAAATCTGGGAGAAAATGTGGCTTTCCTGTCTACCCCCGGGATTGAACCCGGACCACAAGGAGTTCGTCACCCGGTCTCCGCGCAATCCGGTTTAGCCAACTACGCTAGAGAGCCGGGCACACACTATATATACATCTTTGCATCTTTCTTTGGTAGTCATATTGTGTGTTTTAAACAGTTCTTACCTTGGACTGTCTTTCTTGCCTGATGAGATCAAAAAGTCCATGGCCCAGACTGACATTACGTATCAGATGTCTGTTAATGAAAAGAATCAAGCTTCAATTTGAAAAAAAAAAAAAAACACTGAATGTCTGTATCTTTTCTGTCTTCAGAAAGATATGGTTCTGACTTTACCGCTGCCCTGGTAAAACAGGAAGTCATGTTTGATTGTTGTTGAATTTGTACTTCAGTTATAAAGGATTCACTTATCTGCTTCATTTATGTAATTGTTACTGTGGTAGGCACCTGACAAGATACAGCAAAATATGCCAGGCAATAAATTGTGCAGTCTATTGTTTGTGTCTTTTTTGTTCAATTTTTTTTTGGTCTTTTAAAAGTATCTGTTCAGTTGACGGAAAGTTTATCCAAAGTAAAAAAAAAAGATGTCTCACAGTACCTTAGGAGTAATGAGAGTGTTATCATTTGGTACCCAGTGAGTGATGAGAGTGTTATCATTCAGCACCCAGTGAGTGATGAGAGTGTTATCATTTGGTACCCAGTGAGTGATGAGAGTGTTATCATTTGGTACCCAGTGAGTAATGAGAGTGTTATCATTCAGCACCCAGTGAGTAATGAGAGTGTTATCATTTGGTACCCAGTGAGTGATGAGAGTGTTATCATTTGGCACCCAGTGAGTGATGAGAGTGTTATCATTTGGTACCCAGTGAGTAATGAGAGTGTTATCATTTGGCACCCAGTGAGTGATGAGAGTGTTATCATTTTGAACCCTGTGAGTGATGAGAGTGTTATCATTCAGCACCCAGTGAGTGATGAGAGTGTTATCATTTGGTACCCAGTGAGTAATGAGAGTGTTATCATTTGGTACCCAGTGAGTAATGAGAGTGTTATCATTTGGTACCCAGTGAGTAATGAGAGTGTTATCATTTGGTACCCAGTGAGTGATGAGAGTGTTATCATTTGGTACCCAGTGAGTGATGAGAGTGTTATCATTTGGTACCCAGTGAGTGATGAGAGTGTTATCATTTGGTACCCAGTGAGTAATGAGAGTGTTATCATTTGGTACCCAGTGAGTGATGAGAGTGTTATCATTTGGTACCCAGTGAGTAATGAGAGTGTTATCATTTGGTACCCAGTGAGTGATGAGAGTGTTATCATTTGGTACCTAGTGAGTGATGAGAGTGTTATCATTTGGCACCCAGTGAGTGATGAGAGTGTTATCATTTTGAACCCTGTGAGTGATGAGAGTGTTATCATTTGGCACCCAGTGAGTGATGAGAGTGTTATCATTTTGAACCCTGTGAGTGATGAGAGTGTTATCATTTGGCACCCAGTGAGTGATGAGAGTGTTATCATTTGGCACCCAGTGAGTGATGAGAGTGTTATCATTTTGAACCCTGTGAGTGATGAGAGTGTTATCATTTGGCACCCAGTGAGTGATGAGAGTGTTATCATTTAGCACCCAGTGAGTGATGAGAGTGTTATCATTTGGAACCCTGTGAGTGATGAAGAGTATTGCTTTATACATCAAGCAAAAAGAAAAACAGACAAAGCATTCCAGAACAAACCCCATGGAGAGAAAAATGCAAACTAACAGTCCTAATTCAGACAAATGTGAAAGGAATATTTGACAAGAAAGAGAAAGATAGTGTACAACGCAGAATGGCCACCCTCAGTTATATTGATGAAGAATACCCACAAGAATAATGGATCAGAGTCTATACAGATGGGTCCTGTGACGTGACGCGTGGTTTAAATGTTTATAAGTTGAGTATGGATGTTCCTCTCAACACATTTCGTGACTGGTTAATGAAAGTGATACGCTTCAGCGAGACAAACAGCTCGGGGTTTAGAGTGGTATGATAATGATGATAAAAGGTTAACATAAAGGGGTTAACTCAACTTATAAGCCTCTGACAGCCGTGAGGAACTGTCAAGCTTGTCCAACTCTTCCTTGCCTGTTGTCTGCCTGTTTCAGCTTATTCTCCACTTCATCCCCACCTCGTTCTCCACATCGTTCTCCACCTCGTTCTCCACCTCGTTCTCCACCTCGTTCCCAGCTGGCCGAGTCTAACACAATGTAGGCTACTTCATGGACTGATCGTCACATGGGCGCTGTAATCATGGAAACAAAACACATACGTGTAGTATCTTGACACACTAAGAATACATGTATCAATTAATACAAAATATAATAATAAGATATAGCCCATCACTCCTCCTCATATTCCACATCCTCTCCAGTCTAGTCTGAAGGTCTTTTGTCTTACATGGGCGTCACATATCCTGCCTTCCCTCTTCATGCTATGTCATGATAGTTGACTTTCTAAGTCTGTTGTCCGTCATCACTCAGACTTCCAACAACTGGCTGACATTGATATTACATGACTACGTGGAGCAGGTTATGTGCTGAAAACTCAAACAATTTATATGTGCACTCTGTCCTGAATATTATCTTTCAGTGACAGTAAATACTGTACACCCATCATTCTCCCCCTGGGGTTATAAATCCCCTGTTTAGGTGAACACCTTAAGTGAGCACATGGTGGGCACACAAAACGTAACAGCATCCCTGCACATATGGGCATCATGGAAACAATATAATTACATTTCATTATATCAAATGTCATTGTTCACATCTTATTTTCTACACAAGAAAACATACACTGAAAAACATGTGACACAAACATACAAGAAATAGGAATAGTTTTAGCAGTTCCCTAACTGAGATACTGAATTCTCACAAAGAACTATTTCAAGCAGAATGTGCAGACAAATTAGGAAAAGGTAGTATATACTAAGCTTAACTCCCTAACCTAAGTATACAAGATTACAATTAATATTTTTCTCTTACCTGGGAACTTTTCCATCTATCGCCAAACCAGAGTACGACAGTAAAATATACCTTTACGTCGACCTGTTTGTTTGCCGGCAGGCTGCGATTAATGACGGGAATTCCACAGGCTCGAAGTATAAGTATCAATCTATTGTCCAAATTAAACTCCTCCCTTTCCTTAGTTTTTACCCAACCCTCAAGATGATGGCTTAAGCTCCTCCTCCGAAGTACCTATCAAATCACATTAGCTAACAAGTGGCCTGTCAGTCAATTCTGGACTGACATCCCTAGAGCAAACATTCTTAAGTGCCCCAATCTAGTTTACACCGAATCTAACTGGCCGGTGTGAAAGACGGTCAGTGAAGCCATTGTGTTTCCTACGTGACCAAGATCAAGATAAAACATTCCTAATTGCCAAACACCTGTTCTCTCCAGAATTACACTGACGTGTTAAACTTTAAACTTCTCCTCGCCTCTATGTCTAGAATCCGCTCAATCTGTGTTAGGTAATCTTTATGACCTACGGTCCAGCTCAGGTGTGATGCTAAGTTCCCCGTTCGCTGGCCTCTACAGTCTGGTCAGGAGATAACATTCTGACACTGGCATGAGAATAGAATTCCTAGCTACAGTGTAAAGTTTTAGGTAATATTACCCAAGGTTCAGTCGCTTTGTCTGGACTAAGGACTGGAAACGTTTAAATCAATACGCTTTAAAGTAACATTTGGTTTAAGGGCATAGTCTCTTGTCTCTCAATAACCAGAAGAACTTATTACAAGTACTAACTTCTGGAATCACTGAGATCGTATCGTGACAGGTCCGAACAAAGTGCAGTTAGAAATGGTGGTGCTGGTATGTACATAGAATTCCCACATGGTACTAGGGATGAGTCCAGCGTACCAACCGGGAAGTACTGCCATAACTATGATGCAGAAACTCAGGCTATCAAGATAGCAACAGAGAAACTGCTAAATACCAATTTCGGCTCACAGTATGTGGTAATGCTGACAGATGCAAAATCAGTACTAGAAGCACTCCAGTCTAGAAAACTACTAGAATTGCAAACACTGCTGACACAACGCAGCCTTCTGCGAAGAGTCGTAATGCAGTGGATACCGTCATATTGTGGAGTGCCTGGAAATGAGAAAGCTGATCAACTGGCAGGGGACGGTGCAACAAAAGTGCAGCAGGATATACCAGTCACATACCACCAAAAGAAAAGAATCATTAAATCAATCAGGAAACCACCAGCCCCAGCACAAGACGACTATTTTATTATGGACAGATCAGAATAAGTAATTATCCTCCATCTCAGAAAAGGGCACAACCGATTATGTAACCACATGTGCATAAAATTCAAGATAACGTATCAGCCATTTGCACCTGTGGAAAGGTGCCCCAGACAGCAGAGCATGTACTCCAGGACTGCACCAAATTTGACACATTAAGGCAAACCTTTTGGCCAGAAAGAACAACAGTGGAACGTAAACTCTATGGACCACTGAATGAACTAGCAACGACAGTGAAATTTACACAAGAGACAAAATTGCAGATAAAGACAACTTATTTCAGGCGAACGAAAGAAGAAGAAGAAGAAGATGAAGAGTACTATCATTTGGAACACTGTGAGTTATGAGAGTGTTATCATTTAGTACCCAGTGAGTGATGAGAGTGTTTTTATTTAGTACCCAGTGAGTGATGAGAGTGTTTTTATTTAGTACCCAGTGAGTGATGAGAGTGTTTTTATTTAGTACCCAGTGAGTGATGAGAGTGTTTTTATTTAGTACCCAGTGAGTGATGAGAGTGTTTTTATTTAGTACCCAGTGAGTGATGAGAGTGTTTTTATTTAGTACCCAGTGAGTGATGAGAGTGTTTTTATTTAGTACCCAGTGAGTGATGAGAGTGTTTTTATTTAGTACCCAGTGAGTGATGAGAGTGTTTTTTATTTAGTACCCAGTGAGTGATGAGTAGTGTTTTTATTTAGTACCCAGTGAGTGATGAGAGTGTTTTTATTTAGTACCCAGTGAGTGATGAGAGTGTTTTTATTTAGTACCCAGTGAGTGATGAGAGTGTTATCATTTAGTACCCAGTGAGTGATGAGAGTGTTATCATTTAGTACCCAGTGAGTGATGAGAGTGTTACATATGGCACCCAGTGAGTGACTGTGTGCATGTCTGCGTGTGTATCTGTGTGAGTGTTGTGTATGTCACTCTAATTGTGTCTATGTATGTGTGTGTGTGCATGTCAATGTGTCTGTGGATGTGTTTTGTGTGTGTGTGTGTATGTGTATCTGTGTGTGTGTCTATGTGTGAGTGTCTGCATGTATGTTTCTGAAGGTGTGTCTGTGTGTGGCTGCATGTGTATCTGTGGGTGTATATCTATGTATGTTTCTTAGGTATCTGTGTGTGTGGCTGCATGTGTCTGTGTGTGAGTTTCTGCAGGTGTCTGTGTATATCTATGTATGTCTCTGTAGGTGTGTCTGTGTGTGTGGCTGGGTGTGTGTCTGTGGGTGTCTGTGCCTGTGTGTGTCTATGTGTGGCTTCATGTGTATCTGTGTGTGTGTGTCTATTTCATAATGTCTGCGTATGTTTGTGTGTGTCTGTTTGTGTGTCTGTCTGTGTGTGTGACTGTGCATGTCTGTGTATGTGTCTGTGTCGCTGCCTATGTGAGTGTATGTGTCTGTGTGTGTGCTGTGGCTGCGTGAGTGTGTGTCTGAGTGTGTTTGTGTGCATCTGTGTGTGTGTTTGTAGGTGTCTGTGCAGCTGCATGTGTTCATGTGTATGTGTCTGGGTC